CGCTCCCGCCGAGCTCCGCGCGCGCCCCCTGGCGGCAGGGCCCATGAGCGGCCGCGCGCAGTGAGCGGGGCATGGCAGGGCTCCACCAAATGGAGGCGACAGCCTCCCCTGACACCGCGGCCCGCCCGCCCCTGACCACAGACACACTCACACCTGAGGGCCAGCCTAGAGGGCTTCGGCTTCTCTTTATTGTGCTGACCCATCCACGCAAGGTCTTCCACCCAGACCCTTGGCCACACCCGGGCGGAAGGGTGGTGGCGGCCCAGGCCCAGGCCACCAAGTCCTTGTTAGGGGACGGAGCCCAGGCTGTCTTCTGTTCGGGCTGGGTGCAGGCGGCTGGGGCCCTGCACCCCTACCTCCACCCCTAAGGCCTTTCCAGCAGGGCGCGGACCACAGCGGCGATGTGGGGGAGGCCCCTGCCCGGGGCCCCCTCCTCCTCCAGGACGTGGTGGGGCTGGCACAGGGACTCCTGGGGGGAGGGGCCAGGTTAGGTTCCCCTGCCCTGGGGTCCTAGTGACACTGTGCCCACAGGCTGGGGACGATAACACGCAGGGAAGCTGCCAACAGGTAACAGGAGGGAGCTGACACTGGGGGCCAGGCTCGGGGGCAGAGGCGGCATTTCCAGAGGGAGATGCCGGAGCACACAGGGTGACACGCAGAGCCCAGGGCGACCACGAGCAGACATAAACACACACAGAGGCGGCCACAGTCTGTACAGTTTATACACAGAGCCAGGGACCCAGCCTGGGCCCCCACATCCTCTACAAGTAAGAGTTCTCTCTACAAAACAGAGATAATTTAGCCCCCCATAGCAGCCAGTGGGGGAAGGGAGAAGGAAGGGAAAGAGTGGGGCTCTTGCCACCCTGGGGCGATGGGCAGCACCGAGCAGGACAGGAAGGGCTGGAAGGCACCATCAGCGCTGTGGGCTGGGGCTATAGGAGGGGCCAGAGGCCGGGGGCCCTGGGTCTGGGGGCACCAGAGTGGGGCCTCTGAGGTCAGTGTCTGTGAGGGGTCCACTAGTGTCTTTGGTAGGGGCTGAAGGCACCACTGGTGTGCGGGGTGAGCAGGAATCTTATAAATAGAATTGGGGAGGGGACTGGGCCCTAGGAACCCAGGAGCCGAGTGTAGATGACATAGAGCAGCAGCATGAGGATGACGTAGAAGAAGACGAAGCCACCCAGACCAGAGGGGGGCCAGGCAGGTGGGGGGGCCTTGCCCCCCACCCGCTTCACAGCCTCTAGTGTGGTCCGAAGCCCCTGGGCGGTGCCCTGGAGGAGATCCGAGGGCGAGCACAGGTCAGCCTGGGAAGGAGGGCAGGGCAGTGGACAGGACAGAGGACAGAAGTCAGCAGCAGCCACACAGTCCTTCCCACCCCCACCCGCACATGGCCAAGGCCACAGCCACAGCAACAGGGAGACGTGCAGGGAGACAGAGGGACAGGGAGGCGTGCAGGGCAGGGAGAGAGCAGGGCAGGGGGACAGCAGGCAAGGAGACGTGCGGGGCAAGGAGATATGTGGGCTGGGTGTGCAGATCCACCTCTTCTAGGAGCGGACACCCTGTGAATGGAACCCTGCCACCCATGCAAAGTGCTCAGGGAGCCCGGCCACCACCACCCTTTACAGCACAGAACAACTCTCGTACCTCGGGCACGCCCATTTTCCGACAGGCTTCCAAGAAACTCTCTACATTCTTCCGGGACTTCAGGGCACTGAGCTTTGGCTGAGTGTAAGAAACAAGCAAAGAGGTGAAAGGGATGTAAAAAAAAATAAGACACATTACGCACATATCCCAACTCCCCATGACGAACAATCATTACGTAGTGCAATTATACTAATAAAGGTTAAAAACAACATGCAGCGAACACAGGGCAAGGGAGAGGCCGTTGGTTCCCCCACCTCCCACCTCCCCAGCACCCCACTGACCACAGCAGGCGAGGGCACGTGGATGAAGGGCACGCAGCGGGGCCGGAGCTGGTTGGCCAGCTGACAGAGGATGACCCCGTTGGCCAGAGCCTCAGCCAGGTCCTCAGGCAGGGGCCGCTGCAGCCTTGACTCAAGGACCTGGGGGAGGGGTGTCAGCGGGGAACTCACGCCCGCCCATCCCTCCTCAGGGCAGGTCTGAGGGTAGACAGGGTGCTGAGGACCTGCGGAAGGACGCACCGTGCTGGCTCCCGCCCACCCACACAGTGCCGCCTCTGCTCACCTGGCGCAGCTGAGACATTAATTCCTTCTCATCTGGAGCCTGGGTGGAAGGCCGAGGTCTCAAGACGGAGTCTGGTGAGGAGGGGCCTAGAAGGAAAATGGTGGCACAGGGTCATCTCCACACACATCAACTTTGTCACCAGCTCCCAGGGGCCGGCACACGCCCCCAGCCTCTCTGCTTGTGGAATTTCTGACACAAAGGGACAAAAGACCTGCAGAGCCCATAGGCCAGAGGTGACACCAGCTGCCCCAGTTAGTGTTGGCCAAAGCAAGGGCAGTGCGGGGAGGGAGGAGACCCACCTGAGCTGCTCTGAGAGGAGGAGCGGAAGAGAAAGCTGTTCGGTCTCTGCAGGGAGCCGTGTGGTCGGGGAGCAGGTGCCATTGCTGGGGGCCAGGGGCAGGGACAGGTGAGAGACACCAGTGTTCCCACTCTTCCCTCTGGCCACCAGGTCCCAGCCACCCCCATCCTGCTCCCAAAGTCCCTTCCTACCTGGTCCAACTACAGGAAGGGACTCCTGGGAGGGAGGAGCAGGTACGGGGGCTCCCTGTGTCCCTGAAGCTCCCAATGGGGTGGTACTGGGCTGGGGAGCCCCACTGAGGAGAGACAGAGGGGAATCAGAAGGCTGGTGGGAAGACGTTGGGGACAGGCATCCAGGTAGGAACCTACTTGTAGGTGGTCTGACTGGACGGGGTAGCTCCACCCCCAGCGGCCCTGACGCCCAGCTTCAGGAAACTGCGAACAGGACAGCTGCAGTCAGCCGCCAGGCTGAGACCTGGGGCCCAGTTGCATCAACTACATGTGGTCCCCTGGCCAGCAGCAGCCCCAGCCAGCCCTGGCCCTGCACCTGTCTTTCCGGGGAGCCCCCAAAGCCCCACTCTGCTGCTGCTGTTGCCGCCGCTCCCGCTCCTGCCACAGCTGCAAGCTGTCGGGGCGCCGCCGCTCCTCCCCTGCAGGTTCCTCACGCCTGGGGACGCACAGGAGGACACCATGGTCAGGGCCAGGGCCCGGACAGGGGCCGAGGCTGCCAGGAAAAGGCAGGGTGCGGGCTCCCAGGCCGGGGTACCTGCTGCTGAGTCCCCGCTCCCCGTCCCCTGCCGCAGGGCTTAACTCAGGAGGCCGCTGCTCCTGAGAAGAGACAGCAGAGGGTGAAGGGAGGTGGTCCCCAGGCACGGCCCCCCAGACCCTTTTCTCCCTGGAGGAGGGTCATGCCTGAATCCTCACCTCTGCTGCACCTTGCTCTTCATCCTCCCCAGGGACATGGCTGTCGATGAAGTCGATCTGTTCAGGGTCTCCGTCCCCTGGAGGGGCCAAGGCACGGTCAGTCAGCACACAGGTCAGGGCCCACAGCCCTTGCCCACTCTGACCTCCCCAGCCTAACTCCCACTCACCAGAGCCATCCTCCCGCCGTTCCCTGGGCCCCCGAGGTTCCCGGGCCAGCTCTGAGATGCGAAACGACAGCTCTGAAAATTCATCTGTTGACTGTAAAGGCAGAGGGGTGAGGTAGGAGGGGGGCTTCCTGAAGTGCTGGGGGCTCACAGGGCCACAGGCCTGAAGGGCCCTGTGAGGGACTCAGATTGGGGTCTGTTGCTGAGCCAGCCCTTCCATGGACAGTGGGAGAGGAAAGGAAAGAGCTCCAGCCACCACCTGTCACTATGAGATTCAGAGGTACCAGGCAGGGGTCCCCAGGGCAAGGTCCTCTCCCAGGGCTGACACCTCCGATTGCTCATGGAAAGGATGCCCTTACCTCATTTCCAGACCACCTTTTGCTGCCACTGTCGACACTGTGGAAGCCTGAGTCCAACCCACCATCATACCGACGTCCCGGAAATAGATCCTCGGCGGGGCTGGGGCCGGCCAGGAAGACTGGTCAGACTCACTAGCAGCAGCCCCTCTCAGCCTCCCACCAGAATTCAGGGGGTCCCTGGAGCCAGGAAGAGACATAAAGTCTCTTTAAGTCAGGGGCTTCTTTCCTTCCTGCTGAGACTTACCAGGGACTGAAACTCGGAGGGCGGGAAGGGGCCAGGTCCCCCAGAGCAGCCCCAAGCCGGCCAGCCTCTGTGGATAAGTACTTGAAGATGTGAAGTTTCCCCTTCAGGCAGATCTGTGTGAGGAGTCACACTAGAGAAGTGAGGGGAGGAAATGGCTTCCCAGATCCTGCTGGGCTGTCCTAAGGGTCCCCTCCACACCCCTGCCTAATGGGATCCCTGTCCCCAGGCGCAACTAGCCAGCACCTCACCTGGGCAGGCGGGCTTTGCAGGGGGTTGCTGTCCAGTAGAATGACCTGCAGGTGCCTGAGGCGGCAGAAGGAGACCGGGATGCGGGAGACACGGTTACAGGAAAAATCCAGGCGGACCAGAGGAAGGTCCCCCAGCTCTGAGGGGTGGGTAGGGACAAGTCAGAGGCAGGCCTGGTCCTGGGGCCTTGCATTCCCCTCCTCGCCTTCTGTTCCGGCTGGCCCGTCACCCCTGGCTCCATCACAGCCTCTGCCCTGCTGGCTCAGGACAACCTCCCAGCTCCTCTATCCACTCAGAGCCAACCCCACAATCCCTAGCTGGACTTCAGCTCCTGCCTCGTCCTGCACATCCCTCCTTGCCTGTCCATCCACACAAGGGATCCTCATTCTCAAGTGACCAGCACAAGACACGGACCCAAATGAGACACCTGCTGCTCAAAACCTTCCCATGCTGTGCAG